CTGGGCAGCGATGATTCGAGACGTTCATGAAGCCGGCTCATCCTCCCGTAGGAGATAGCCGAAGTAAAGTAAGTAGTAAGTGCTGAGGCACAAACACAATTAGGTTATGGTGATATTTTAAGCCAGTTTGTAGTATCCCCTGACTTATTCACGATATTACTAGTTAATGCACGTTCCTTAATCAATAAGATATCTGAACGAAGGACATTATTATTAATCGCTAAGCCTACTGCGAATCATGATGCTCATCCTCTTTACTTGATATGCGTAGAGGTATAGATGATTACACTGCACACCGCAAAGACAGAGATTGCAAGCGTGGTGGAGGATGTCTCATATACATATACATAACTCATTCGAAGTTAGTAACGTGGGAGATGAAATACTGAATGAGGCACCTGATCCACTCTGAATCGTCTCACATGGGATAAGTACAAACTTCTCATAGGCTGACTGTGTTTATCGAGCACCAGGATCAACCAAATTAACTGATTAGTTATTGGGTAAGTCGTTTGGACACGCATCCTCGTTTAATACTGATAACAAAATAATTTCAGGGGATTTCAATCTTCCAGACGTGAACTGGTTAAGCAGTTCCGGTCCCCAAAGTTTCAACGAATTACTGGCCACTATCGATTGTTATGGATGGCAAGAACACGTCCAGACACCTATCCGTGATGATAGCATGTTGGACCTTGTGTTTTGTCCTGCATGACACAATCCCAGTCTCCACCTGTGTTGGTAACAGATTTTCCAGTAGTGACCATAGAATGGTACTCTGCTCTCTGCCTCTCTCACCACTAAATACCAGAAACAAACAAACTTCTCAGGGAGCATGATATACCGTGGTTACAAACAAAATAGACTGGAGATTAGTCCAAGAAATCATTCCACTCTGTCAATGGGATGACTATTTTACCACTGACTCCCTATTTGACAGGAATGTTACCCTCTGTCTAGATACTGTTGTTCCTAAGAAGGTAGTGAAACTAAGTAAGCACCAAGCTGAATGCATTCCAAGGGCATACGGCAATAAGTAAGGAAGGAAGTTGATGAAACAGTACTCTTCCACTAAAGATATATCACTACTGCACTCAATCCACGAGTCACTTGAATCATCTATCAAGCGCCTACGCTCTCAAAAGGACCTCGACGAAGAGTGAAGTGCACTTGAAAGCTCCTCCGAAGTTTATAACCTAACAACACTTCTTAAAAAACGAATGTGGTCGACGGGGACATCCCCTACTTACTTCACGACAAGGTAATCTACAATGAGCCTGCCACCATCTGTGAACTTTTCAGTGAGTGGTTGGCGAACTTTAGTTTAGGGACCCACATCCCTGGTGAGACTGAACCCCTTACTAGCTCCTCTCTTGAGAGCATAATCTTCACCAACCAATTAATACAACAAGCAGTTAAAAGCCTTAGACCTTCTACTAACACGCTACCCGATGGCCTGGCTTCAATAATTCTCGAAAACTGTGGGTGTGATATTCCCCTATTACTTCTTAAATTCTTCTCAATATCTGTGGACACTGGCACTTACCATAATGATTGGAAAACCAGCTCTATAATTATTCCAAGTACAAATCCGGTGATAAGGCAAACGTCCGCAATTACAAACCTATAAATATAATTCCAGTTATCTCGCGAATCATGGAGAAAGCTTTTAAAGATCAATTAACAGACTATCTACTTAGGGAAGATCTTGTTACGCAGTCTCGACACGGATTTCTCAAAAGTACGTCCTGCGTTACTTTCCGATTCGACTTTTTCAACTGCATCACTAGTAGTCGCGAAGCATGTCAGCTAGTCGTTGTTCTCCACTTCGATATATCTATAGCATTTGACATGGTATCTCACAGTATTCTCTTTGAGAAGTTGTACTCGTGTGGAATTCTCAATCCATTACTAAACTGGTTAAAGTCATTTCTAAGCACCAGGGTACAAATAACCAAAGTCGGATTGGTATTATCTCATCCTAGGCAGGTCACAAGTAGGGTTGTGCAAGGTAGTGTCCGAGGTCCACTCTCATTTACAGTCCAGTCCACATTGACAGCATTTGTAACTGCTTCACCTCAGGTAAACCATTACGATATGCTGACGACCTCAAAGTCGTTTACTCCTGTCCTGCTACAGTCATGAATTAAACGATATGGTAAGTGAAATACATCTTGAACTAACTGGTCTCGCAACATGGTGTGCTGAATCCTATCCAAAGTTTAACATAATGTAACAAAGGTGGCTGGATTTGTATCGGAAACAGTGGGTGACATTGACCTAGCTCTTGAAGTAAATGGGCGAAAACTAGCCAATCTCAACTCAGTCGTAGATCTCGGTATCAGATACTCTAGTAATTTAACCTGCTCTGAACAAATTGATTATGCTAGATAATTGCATAACTCTCAATTTCTTTTCTTGTGAAACTAGGGTTTTATTATACAAAGTGTGTGTCCGGCCTAGTTTAGAATACTGCCCGTCTATTCTTAGCGGTCTTCGACAGAATGACAAGCTTAAATTAGAGGGAGTGCAACGCCAATTTACCTCAAGAACTCTTGGTTCACAATGTAGTCCGAACTACTCTGAGCGTTGCGACAGACTGCAAATAGAACCACTCCAGAAGAGACGTCTTAAGCTAAACCTCACTAACCAGTACAAACTAACTAGTCTTCTCTTGCACTCCTCCAGGCCAATAACTAAATCTACCGCTGTCATCAGTTACAATATTAGAAATCAGGATAACCTAGTTGCTGTAGAGCATTGTCAGACTTACATGCGGTACAACTTCTTTTTAAATAAGTTTACAGTCATTTAGAATAGGCTACCAGCTCATGTGAGTGATGCAAATACACTTCCAGTGTTTATCTCCTCAGTCACCAAACTGCTCAAAGATGACAATCCACTCCTGTGTCTGACTCCAACAGCCTCCTTTTCACCCTACATACATATTTTAAGTTCATTAAACGTATAAGTTACCGAAAACTACAATTATAAATCTTAATATTATTCGAAGGACATGATAAATATTTCTACACAGGACATTAATATTAGTTCACACATAATATAAAAGTTAGCATAACACGACTAGTTAGTCAGCTAGTGCTGGTGTACCAAAATAATCAGTTACTTTCACAGAATATTTATATACATTTATAAATCCCTCCTTGAGGACTCCTCCACTTGCTTTCTTCTGTGCTGCTGTCGTTTGTCTTCCTTTTCTCTCTCTCTCTCTCTCCCTCAACATTTTACCTTCTATATGACTTTTTGAATGAGAATAGAGAATGTAGATAGTTGACCACTTACAATGACAAATGATCTGCAAACATTACTGGTCCCATATCCTACAACTGCCTGGTGAATTACCCATCACCTTCACCCACGACGCATCCTGGATCACAGTTGTCGAATATACCTTTATACCAATGGAAAATTATGGATTTATAATACTTCACGATTGTAATTTATAACATAACTGATTGTGACTGTAAAAATGGCTTACTTGCATCTTGTGAACACCTGTTTATAAGAAAATATAAACTATTATTATTATTATTACTAGTCTGAATTGAGTACAATTCACTTCTGGTGTTACTTATGATGAAAATGCTGACAAGATTACACAAGTGTATCACTTATTTGGAATTCATTCCCAATTTGGATGTAAATCAAGAATAAGATTCGATGTCATACACAGCGAAGTTATATGGGCGAATGACACTTCAAGCTTTACTTTTTTCCCAAGTATTTGTAATCCATCCAAAACATACTTGGGTTTCTTTATTAATACGAAGACAATATTTCTATATTACTTGATGTGCTCCACTTAATGACTAGTTAGCCGATTGTACGCATAACACTAAAGACAAAAAGACAGTAACCACGTAATTTCACCATAAACAAAGTTTATGTCATTGAAATAATCATTGGATAGCTTGGGAATATATTTTCAAGTCGTCCTCCAGTGTCCTTTCGACATGCATTAGTTACATTTCACATCCGAGATTTCGCACATATTCTATCTCTCTTCTCTCGACTCGTTTCGTGCATTCCTTCCTTCTTCTTTGTTTAAAAATAGTCATCAAAGACTTCTTAGTTTCATCATTTCATTTTTGAGGTGAATATCTCTTGATCCAGATGACACGGACTCCACATCGCCATCACCAGCAGTGTGAATTCTGTCTCTCTCTCTCTCTCTCTTCCTCTGTCTATCTGTCTGTCTATCAATGTATTCAGTCACCATAAGAAAACAAACTTCATGAAAGGCGACTCACTGTCAAAACTACTCACAGTCAGGAAAGCACGCAGGCACTCGAACACTCAGTCGAGAAAATATGAGTTTCCGTCAACGATACAATAAACTTGATACAATAAAGACGACGATACATGAATTGAACAGAAAATGTGACAACCATAACCTGATTAACTAACTGGCTGGCTAGTCACATCCCCGAATACAATTCATCAAAATACAACTCTGATCACTCACTCCATTATTATAGATAAGAGGAGTTATACCCTCACACATTGACCAACTTTCATACTTATAACAACTCCGATCACATGGAGAACAATCAGAACAGTCAAAGATGCCGGCCTTATCAAGTGAATATAGACATCATCAATCCATCCCTCCCTACCCCCATCCATCCATCCATCCATCCATTCTCTCATTCAACTGAATATCACCAAGAATCAAACACACACACACGCCCACAAACAAACAATTCCGTGTGTCATAACCCGAAGGATCGTGAGAATATGAAATGTATTTCAATATAATGCCATCACCTAGACTGTAAGTGAACATCAGTCGCCTACATCACTCTCCATCATCTCAACAAATACTTCTCCGACAGGAGAAACAGACAAAATCTCCACCGGATGTCAACAAAATCGGTACGTACACATACGTTATTTCACATTACATGAAGATTACTCAGAAACTTATTTGCCAAACATACGATACAGTAACACACTCACTCACAAAAACATCATTAGTGAATTCATATCTAAATTTATTTAACAAATATCGAAATAAAGAAAAATTATGCGTATATCATTTGAGTGTACTTCCTCAGTCTGTCTTCAAGATGGCGTCATCGAATTCATCTTCTCACACCAATATCGTTTTTGCATTTCCAAAACTTCTATCTTCAAATCCAGATATCTCATCTGCTTCTCAAACATCAAAGCCGAACGTCGTCTTCTCTCACCATCATCCACATCATCATCAGATCTAGACGGGGGAGGGAGAAGATTCTGTTATTTACTTCTCACAAAATAAACCAACTACGAATCAGAGGTTATCAAATTCACCACAACACTTACATAACTACAGTTGGAAACACTCACCTACCCACCCACTCACTCACTCACTCACAGCTCAATCCCTCTCATCTTAACACATCAAATCTACTATTAACTTATCCACAATCACCGACAACAATCAGCTAGCTCCACAGCCTTCACAATCACCTCCCCCCCCGACATACTCTCCACCTTCACCTCATTATCTGTCACTCGTACACATCATATTCAAGATACTCTCCATCTCCTGTGTGTCCGTCTGTCCATCTGCATTACCCTCTGACTGTTCGCCTTGTCAGGGAAATCACACACCAATTAATTAACTAATAAATAGATAGATAGATAACACATTTCTATAAATGCAAAGCATTGGTGAACAGTGACAATCGAAAAACCAACAAACAACTCTACAACACTTCCTGTGTGCTTCCACCCTTCTCCGACTCATTCATCTCAACTCAAACTAATCAACAAATCCGTAGAAACAAACACTTCGAAATACAACCTCACTCAATAGAATGCATGCATGCATGCATGCACATGTAAACACCCACCCAGTCGGTCAGCCGAACAATCCACTCACCATCACATTCATTTCGTTCATCCTACATCCTACATCACATTCTATCAAAACACTCTCCAAATCATCAACATTCACTCATCACCTCACATTAAAACCACGAGGCTCAGACGAACTCTCACATCGCCTTACTAACTGCCAACAACAAGGATAACAACAACAGCAATTGCTCACCTCTCTTCTCAATTAACACTCCAAATACACAGGAGGCGTTACATTACTGCACACTTTTCAACTCAAATCACCGAAACACATCTCGTTATTGATATAAGTATAAAACTTGGGCACTGTGGTGGAGTATAATTCCATTATAGATAAGATTTTATTTTGATAAATCGCACAGTGTTTACAGTTATATCAGTTCATATAACTGTAAACACTGTGCGATTTATCAAAATAAAATCTTATCTATAATGGAATTACATCTCGTTATTGTACAACTGGTTTACAATCAATACACCATCATGATTCTCTTCACCTCTTCCCATACACATTCTTTCATTCAATGTGTCGCCTTCATCCTCAGTCACAATCATCCACCTCGTCACTCCTGACACCATCACAACCCCACGTTTACACACGCCAACACGCACACTCACACACGAACACATACACGCATACACCCACAACAACATCAGCAACAACAACAATCACTTCCACTAAGTAATAATAAATAACAAACATCAAGTAGAAAGGTGAAATAATTAACACGCGGGTTTCAATCTATTCCCAGACTATCATTGCTAAATTAAATCGAACACACTCACCTACACACAATGGTTGAGTCACATTCGAAATTTAACCTGAATAAAGAGAAGTGACCAACTAAGACTACCACAACACAACACACCACGACACACCACAGAACAGCACAGTACATTACATCACATGACAGGACAGGACAGGACAGGACAAGTCGGACAAGTTAACACAACAAATATCATTACTCACCTATAACCCCGGTCACTTGCATCGCCAGTCCCCACTCCCCCATCACCAACTCCATTCACATCCATCTCCTCCACACTCTCCTCATCACTCGACACCGACAAGTCAATAGTCTCACTCTCGCCAGAACCACCTCCTCCAACACACCTTGGTTCACAAACTCCAACATCGCCAACACGACAACCCTTCACCTCACCACCATTCGAAACACTCACAGATTCATTCACTCCACTGTGTCCTAGAACTCCATTAGTCAACTCGTCGCTCTTATTCCCACTCTTCACAGTCTTCTCCGCTGAGTCGTATGGAACACACAAATCTTGGGGAATAGGAGCTATTGAGTAGACGTTCAAAATTCTCAGACCCATCGTGTTTGAGGGACTTGTGTGAGTGGAGACCATAGGAGGCGTTGAATTAATGTGGGGTCCCGGTGATATCCAAACACATGGTGAGGGAGTCAGTGACGGAAGACTTAATTGACCAACACTCGACTCAACATTACCTACCTTCATTCAATAGGATTAACATGTCATAATGGAATGTGAACATACCGGAGTACACTGACCACTCACATGGGAATCTCCATTAACACTGACCACCACTTGATGAACAGAGGTGGATTCAGAGGACTTCGGAGTATCAGGACACACTGTCGTCTGTCTGTCTTTCATGGTGAGATCCATCTCCCTCAGCATTTTCTGTCCCTTATGACGGAGTCGAGTCCAGTGTCGTCTCGGATATCCCTTCGAGTGGAGATATTCTGAGAATTGCATCCACATATGTTTTTTCATCATTAGTGATGGCTGACTTCTTTCTCTGTCCGTCAACATATTCTTGTATTTGACTAGTAGTTGTGTGAATTCTCTCATCTCGTCTTTTGTGTATCCCATCGGTGTGATTGGCTTCGCTTGTTCTTTGATTGCTTCATCATTCTGTGTCGGAGATGTATTGGCCATTATCAATGACTATAATAGTAGTAATAATAATATTGATAATAATAATAATCCAGCGGTTTTGGAGATATTCCGTAATTTGTTTCAGTATGTCAGTATGTCGTGGTGTTATTCCCGGTTAGTGTATTTCTCTGGTATATTTCTACGTGTCGTGTTTTGTATATATGACGATGATATGATATATAAAGAAGACAGTGTCTAACTGCTTATCATAGGTGTATGTATATGGAAGGGTTGTCATTGAATGTAATTCTGATTTTCGTTACAAGGACGCACACACACACACACACGAGTGTTGGCTAGACATGTTGGCCTTGTTTTCTTCTGCTGGTGAGCTGGTGATTGATTGGAATGAAGCATTTCTCATTGGTTGTTGTTTGTTTCAGCCTTGGAATGATTTTCCACTGGAATGCAGAAATTACTGGTTAATAATTGGACTATTGTTTGTGTTCGTGGTATAGGTACAATGCTCTACTTAAGTACGTGGGTGTGTTTTAATTCTTGGAGGTATGCATGCATTGAAGCCGTTTTTAATCTCTCCTATCTTTCTCTCTCTCCTTCTCTCTGTCTGTCTGTCTATTCGTGTGTGTGCGTGTTTGTATCTGTTGTCTATATGAGGTCTACAATCCTGTTCATTCATTCATTCATTGACTCATTGATTTATTCATGTCTACTTCAGGATTGGTGGAAAACGAGATGTAGAGATTTTCATGATATATTCACATCACATAATATATATATATATTGAAGTAGGAGTAGTCATTTTTAGTAAATATGAGGTATTTTTTCCGTTGTATCACAAAAATACTCTTCGTTTCTTAATCTAAAAATAATATTTAGAAGTAGTCTCACTGGATGACATTTGCATATGAAACACTTTGTCTTTATATGCACTGAACAGTAATGAAGACCAAATCTATGGAAAAGGAGTTCATAAGAATGTTACTGAGTCGGTATGAACGGTTTGGAGTTATCAGAAGCCCAGTAAATGACGGTAAAATCAAAGTGGATGTTCGTTTATGGGTTACAACTTTTCCAAATTTTGTATCTGGACGAGAATAAACAAATTCTACGGACCAACAGTTGGTTTTGATTTGATTTTTTTTTGATTTTTGATTTACAGCTTGATTTCACACTGTATTTTTGGTACAAGCATGGAATTTTCAGCATGGATATCGTTAGCCCAAATTCTGCAGGCCGACCATAGATATCAGGTGTGCGCCGGCGTGGGCTCGAACCCCGGACCATGTGCATGGTCGGCGAGAGTCCTAACCACTGTGCCACCGACTTGTATGTATATGGGCATTAAACTAAACTATTGCTTATATTTTAATGGCAGTAATAGGCATTCACTGTTTCTTCAAACTTGCTATTGAAAAATTAGTATGTGTAAAAACAATTCATCATGGTACTCCAATATTTCTATATCTGTGTACAATTGAGACTAAATAACACTCTTTAAAAAAATTTTGCATAATTTAGGTAGAAGTCGGTTTTATAAATGGAAGTGATGCTTTCACATTTCTGAAAAATAATTGCTGACTGATACAGTCAGCCGACTATACAACATTTCGCATTAACATCTGCTAAAATAAAATTGAAACACTATTGCTAAGATGGCAACACATGTGACCAATGAGAATTGACACTAAATGCTAGAAATGAAGCTAAAAATGAGCTAGTGTCAAAATGCGAATGTATTATAGGTCAAAATAAAAGCCAACATTTTTTTATTGTCCAGTCAGTGAATTAAATGCTGAGTTTTGGATACATATAACATTTTGATCAGAATAAATTTATTGTGTATTTTCGAATTTGAATGGAAATCTAATTTAATAACCCATGATATTTGATTGGAAAAAGTGCATAATGAGTTGCATTTTGTATTTACAAAGACCCTCAAACAAACCATGTCGAATGCATCAGTTTTCATCCGACTGTCAAATTTAGTTTGTCCGCGTTTCAATAATACGATCCTGATCAGCAAAGCATATCGTCGGGGTTTGGTCTCCAGTTGACTCACCTTGTTTACTAGTCAATGGTAAGCCAGGAAAAGAGAGGAGTTTGGCTGTGAGTCTGGCACCTTCACCACGTAAAAACAACATTGCCCTTACTGAAACGTCAAAACGCCTGAAACTCAATGTTCCCCTTGTAAGGAATGGGGTGAAGAAAAAGCTTTCAATCATAGGTAAGTATTTAAAAAAAAACTTTGTCGATGCTGCCAAATGAATTATGGAATTTTGTAGTAAACAAGCCTTATTCATCTGTAGCATGCCTGGACCTATTAATTTTCCGGTCGAAATAAAATTAGGCTTACATGATGCTACTCTTCATCGTTTTTACAAATTCTAGTCACTAAACCAAAAGATGTCTGGATTACCTGTATTTTACATAGAATAGAGTATCACAATCGCTAGTTAGCTATAGTCAACGGATTTTGTAATAGTTTATATATATATATATATATATATATATATATATATATATATATATATATATATATATATACATATATATATATATATATTTCCTATCTCCCGTTTCAAATCCATTGAAAAACCCATGAAAAATAGTAAGTGACTAGAAGATATCATGTTGAATTTATATGAATAATTTTTTCCATTAATGGAATGATTCTCTTCTTCGTTGGAATGAAAGTGAACATGAAAATCTTAAAACAGTTAGTATATTTCCTTCACAAAGCTGGACCCCTGGTATCAAATTAAATAACTTATAAGTGAAACAATATCTGTTATTTGTCTTGGAAACTACTCGTAGTCATTTTCTCCCCTGTTTTTTGTTGTTTCATAACATAAAATCTAAGTATGCTTCAACAATGAGTTTAAGTAAGCCTTTGAGGCGTTCAGTATAGTGACTGTTAAACAGTGATAGTACCAAGGTATTTTTAAACCTACATAATCAATGTATGCACTGACGAGTGATTGCCCCACTTGAAAATTTCTTCCTTTCATGTTAAGTTGTAATTCAGTTATTCTATAAATAGCTCTGCCACGAAATGTCCAACTATGACAATCAATGCCGGAAATACAGAAGCTATAAATTCAGAACTTCTATACAACTTATTCCAAATATTTAAGATAATACAAGACACAATTTAGCATAGCTTAGTTGTCGTGTCGCCTACAAAAAGGAGTCAAAAATACTATGAGCTATACTTTCATGGATCCCTTCTTACTTATCACAGATACTTCACTGGAAGATACTTCACAACATAGTATATTGCCAATTTTCTGATTTTGTTTGTGACAATTAATTATTCTTTTAAACCCAATCACTCAAAAGCACCAGCTTTTTGACTGTAAACATTGTAACTCAGTCTCCTTTCTAAATGACGTATTATAGCTGGTATTATGTTACTATCTTGTTACTTAGGTATATAAACGTCTTACTCTGGGAATTATTGGAAACAATTACAGACATGCAAATTCCAAAAAAAGAAAATCAAGCATAGGGTTATCTGTTCCAGTGTCGATTTCCGCTTAATAAGTGTCCAAAAGGCGGAAGAAGACAGTAAAGTTAAAATGTCTCAAAAGTGTATGGGCAAGTAAGTTGCCAATAGAGTATATACAACATGAGCATATGTACAAAACAACACACCACGTACGATGGACTGAACTTCGACCTACTACCCTTGAAGAATTGTAGGACTTACAGCAGTACGCCTACAACCCTTTTCAGGTTGACGCCCTTAAGTTGGAAAATCTTTGCAGAGTTCATTTGCTGACCTTCTATCATTTGTATCCTCAACTTTGAATGGTAACACGCCCATGCCATTGTATCGTAGAATATAGATGACTAACAAACACATGACGTAAGTGACCAACCAAGCGTAGGCACATAGCAATTTACACCAAAGATAATAACATTCAAATAGCAACTTGAAAGGCCTCTATTCGTGCAAGTCAGTTTAACAGTTACCCTCTCATACACAGTTGGCTTATCCTCCCTAAAATGACCATCGACATTCGTCCTTTCAAACGGACTGATACTAGCATAGTCACAACACAAGATACCTGAGTTCATGGACTTCCCTTTCATTGTGGATGACAACACCAACGACGACTGATTGATACCAGTTGATGAACTTAGCGGTGCATCAGAAGCTATTGTTGTTCGGCTTTCAGAGGGTTGACTAACTGCAAGATTATCATCGCTGCAATCTCCTATTATTAGATCCTGTTTAACACTAGCATCTGTTGACAGGTGGGTTACACGCTGATCATTTACATTGACGGTCTCATGAGTATCCGTACCTTCTACCACCGCATCTGCTCTTAATTCTACTTCACGTTCAAGTTGTACAGAACTTCTATTCAACTCAGCAGTAGTAAGCATTCCCTGCATCTCATCATGATCAACCAAAGACAAACCTGCACCATCATGACCACTGTCACAAATATCCACCTTACCTCCGTTTGCATGCTCAGCTTCATCATTTGCGAACTCTTTAATAACAGAAGTAGACAATTTGGGTTCTTTTTCACAAATCCTGAGAGGTTTTATACCTTCACTCTGACTAGTAATAACTCGTAAATTTGTGGAGTCAGAACTGGACTCTGAAACTGTAACTCTCTTCTCCTGCACAAACTACAGTGTCGTGTGTGTTACTCTTTTCAACAATGGCTTACCAGTTGCAACTACAGGCTTCTTCGCCGCACCATTATCGTCACACAATTCAGAGTCAGACCTTGATTTCACATTTAGCTTATCACTAAACTTGGTCACTTATTCACAGTTCACCTTTGTATGAAACGTGTAAAACACAACCGTGTTTGTCTCGCAACTGGTAACCTGTCTGTTGGGGATGCCCCACGAAGGCTGTTACACTCACTAAGTTTATATGGATTACTAGACACCATAAAGCTTTCTTGATATCCACCTCTCTGAGACCCTTTCGTCATAAATGGTTGCGTTTTGCTCTCAGACTGCTCTATTCTAGAGGGGGGATGCAATATACTGACAAACTTGCTCACAGATTGATTGACACTATCTTTTACCAGTTTCAGAATATCATCAAACTTTGGCTCAATACCTTCATCCTCTATACGGGAGCTTATCTTCACCCATGTCAGGCAACCTCAGTAAACTGTCAATTTCCAGCTCTTACTACGCTGGACCTCACGCTGTCCCTGGAAGACTTTCAGAAACACTTTGTATTAACCAACGCGAAAAACAGTAACACAGATTGGCGACTCGAGAATCCTTTATTCTAACGCCAATATGTAACCAACAATAAGGTTATTACACAAGGTCTAAGAATAAATGTTATAACAATAAATCACGATAATACTTCTGATGGTTTCCTTTATTCCACTGAACAGCGAACGATGAGACGATGACTGCCGTATTGATGACTCCCGCCAAAAATATGGAGGAATTGGGTTTGGGCAAACAACCATGAATTGATCGTTCAATCTTCAACTATATTGACACTCCTTGGCAAAAAAGGATCCATCCCTTTTTTACAACACGAGCAATACACGTTGACTTGGATGCCGTTGCGAGAACCTCCGTCGGACGGACAAAGCTGAAACAGAAAACAAACAGCAAAGCCAACACACCACAGGCATACCCACAACACAATCACACTCGTCGACGGCGACCTACGCCTTTCAGTTAAAGACATCCTCTTGACATCTTGCAACACAATCGCCACTCGCTAGAATGACTCTTGCAGAAAGCAGCGTGACCATAGCACCACCTCATGGTACTCTTCACACATCCTCTTATCTATTCACTACCAATTACCATTGTGATCGTTTGTCACTCATTCTGCCTCAGTTCTAGTAACGGCGACGCATGCAAGCCTCAGTCGTCTACACTCTCGCTCCTCGGCGTGTGAGACCACAGCTAATCAATATCTCCGTGTACATGTCATTCTCAGCACTAGCCTCCCCGGCGTATACGACCCATCTGCTGTCTTTAACATCAATCAATTCATCCACGGATGTGGAAGACTCGAAACAACTTCAGAAGTAAGCACGAAGCAAAATTTAAGAAAATTATGCAATACAACAAGGTACGAAAACAACAAGTAAACACAGTGAATCCAGAAACACCAATCGATATGACACACCATTCATATATACAACAGTCATTTCCTGTAGTTAATTTAAAACCTTAAGATCTAAAACAACCCGCAAGAAACAAAGCCCCAAGGCTCTAAAACGCAAATAATAATCTTTCTATGCGAAATTTCTTAAAATTTATGCCTTTTCTATTAATAATTCGTCTGGGCTTTAAAGACAATTTTAAGCATTACTACCAACACAATACAGCAAAATACTGCTTTTTTGGCTACAAATGTCTAGAACTAGTCAAATGTAATCTATTTTCACAAAACTGAGAGATTATAGCTCCTCTATAGGCGTGAACGCGGTGACCCATACACTGTGCGAAGACATGCGGTTGTGGGGTATATCCTCCCCCCCTTTAAGACACGTAAAGGATCTCGAAAGAGGCGCTCGGGTAAGAAATGTCAAATTTCTTCAGATGTTCCAATATCCAATATCGTTTTTACGAGCTGGTATAAACCAATTTGATTTCTTTGTGCTCGCTTCTTGATTGTAAGGTATAGGTTCCTGATCTTCGGTAAACTTCTGCATGGCTCGTCCCGCCACTCGACTGCCGTAGTTTTGGCCGACTCCAAAAGGAGTAGTGCTGGGATTAATTATATGTGGTTTGTAGTATGAGGTGTGTTAAGACTGTTACTACTGTGAATAGAGTTGATCCTTTCACCAGTTAGTCCTCCGGTATTGTCGTCAAAAGAAAAGGGATAATAATAATAGATATAATAAGTGAAGTTATTCAGACTAACAGACAGAAAAAGAAATAAGAAAACGTAACAACAGTCAGACTAAATTTGAAGAATGATATGAATATATATATATATATATATATATATCGGTAATAATGATAATAATTAGTGTAATTAAAGTTGTCAGGCGAGTAAGACGGGAGAGAATGTAAAGAAGTAAAGCGACAAGTTTAATTGTCTACTCCTGAGTGGGGTATACGATTTTAAGGGGGTAGGTCATTTGGATGCAGTCTTTGTGTCGCTGCATGGTTTTCCAGCCTTCGCTTAAAGGGGTCCAAAGACGGTGCCATAGCTACATTTGCCGGTAGGGAATTCCAGGGACGGAAAACCCGTAGTGAAAAGAAGTGGGAGCGCAGCCGGTCCCTTGCCCTCTGGTGGGCTGTTCTTCTGGGATTATCACGAGAGAGCCTGTGCCTACCCAATGGCAGAACACCTTTGTTTGGGTCGTTCTGGTCATTTGTTATTTTGTAGGCAGCAATTAAATCCCCATAAGACGTCGGTAGCTAAGTGTGAACAGGCCTAGTTTCTTCAGCATTTCATCATATGGTTTATTTTGGAGATCAACCACTCCGACCTCTTTCCAGGAGGTCGGTG